AGCTTTTTACTGTTTCATTTATATAAAATATTGACCTAATGCTACAAAAAAAATAAAATCAGTAAAGTAACTAACTCGGACTCTCAGTATTTTTCATGTGTACTTTTTACTTTTTATTTAAGTACAATTTTGGATTACAATTTTGGAAGCTCTAATTGAGTACATATTTAGCCACATAATAATACTTTTTACTCGAGTACAAATTTGTAGCACTCTTTCCACCACTGTATGCAAGGAAAGAAATAAGTTCATTTCTGGCTTGCTCCGATTTCAACTGGACATCAGTGCATGTAAATGCAGAACTTTGCTTGGGGGCTTTGCTAAGGAAATGTTTCAAATCATTCAAAATTCAAAACTAATTCCTCTAATAAATGAGTTGGTGTTTATCTATATCTGTAAAAGTGTAGTTGTATGCTTATATTAGCAGTTGTTATTAGCACACAATTATAGAGCTAAGCCTAATTTATTAGACGGCCCTGAACGTCTTTAAGCCCCTCATAGTTTTTTTTTTTTTTTTTTTTTTTTTTTTTTTAATAATACGCTCTGGAAAATGCTTTTGTTAATGTGTTATGCTTAACCCACTAGACTAGACCATGGTCATTCCACATCGACCATTGTTGGATGATCTAAAATATAAATCTTAAAGGTCTTATATGACACAAAATTGACTCTTGTGAGATTTAGGCCATGTTATAATGTTGTTAACTCATCAAAAAATACCTGGAGTTGTGTTTTGTTTCACACGTTTAACTCTTTATTATTAGTCTGTCTACATCCTCAAAGCTCAAAATGACTCAAGTGAAGGTGTGTGGAGTTTAAAAACACAGTGGAGCACTTCCTGTATTACCACATGACATCACAAGTGTTTTCTGTTTAAAAGAAGAACACAGTGTAAATGTGCAGGATTAGTGTGTTAACAACATGTATGAATGAAATGAAACACAGCTCCGAGTATGTTTTTGATGAGGAAAGAACATTATAACAGAACTCAAAACAGAGTAATATGGGCCCTTTAGCATGCATACAAACTGAACTATTGTGTTGTTTGAGACTACTACCTACACTCAGGAGATAAAGTTGGCATTTTACCCCTGTCAGACAATGAATGATTCCACCTGCACATTCTCCGTCTCCTCTCTGTGGATTAGTTTCTTTGTAAAACATTATATTCCACATGATTGACAGCTATCAGGAGACACTACTCCCTACAGAAGTTTTGCAGCAGTGCTGTCAATCAATGGCCACTGCGCAGCCTGTAATGTATATGTAACTCATCTGTCAGACCTGCTGTCCATCACTGCTGTTGTGAACACGTCAGAAGAGAGAATGTCAAATCTACACTAAAAATAAGCTTCTGGGATTTTATATGTGACAGTTTTATGGGATAGAAACTTGGATTCAGGCCACCTAGAGGTCACTGGGTGTAACGACACATGACGTTTATAAGTGTACATGAAGTTAATGGGCTTTTAACTTGATATTACAAACAAAATCTATGTTTATTTTATATTCTATTGCAGCATTGTAGATGTGCAGTTTCAACACAATTTAATGGGATATAAACTTGGAGCCAGGACATTTACACCCTATGGATAACACAAAAGTACTAACACAACGAGTAAGAAGCATTTAATGAAGTGGTTCAAAACTTCATTAAAGTGGTCTTAAAAAGGTCTTTAAAAAGTCTTAAATTTGGGGTTGTCAAACCTGGGGATATCCTGTTTATAAAGGTAGCTCACTAGAGTAAAAAGGTTGCAGACCCCTGCACTAGGTAAGTGTTACCTGGTTCTACACTTTCCAAAACTCCTTCAGTGTACACAGAAATTACTTGACAAATAAAAAGATAAGAAAATACCTCAATTTTGTAGACTTAATATTTAAAATATCAGAATAATTTGTTTCTTGTGTGTAAATTGTGCTGAACTTTTGGGCTGAATTCTCCCAGTGTGACAACAGTATGAGACTCTCTAAAAACTCTCTACTTCCTGTAATGTTCAACATATTTTTTTACTTTTCTTCTCAAATTACTTCTTGAAACTATTATTTATATTTACAACAGATATTATCGCACCACATTATAGCCCATAGAGCTACTGCGACTGCTGTGTTGGACTAGTATTCTTGCAAAGTGTAACTCACATGAAAAACTGAGCACTACCGAGCTCTTGAAACCACAGCCTTTGAAAGCAGCTCTCACGGGACTACAAGTTTGCGCAATAGTTAACCATAGAAAAACATTTGGAAAATAGACTCCCAATGGTATGAACTTCTCTCTGCTATCTCTACTGCACCTTCACAGTCTCTTCTGCAGTGCTTTGAGCGCAATCTGAGCTGCATTCATAAATAATATTTGGAAATGTCTTGATAAGTGCCAACTGGGGCTGAAAGATTTGGAGAAAAAAATATCTAATTGCGATTTTTCTGACAAGCACTGTGATTAGATTTGCGATTTATGTTTTAATAGAATTCTGTTCAAAGTTCAGGTTTCAAACATTTCCAAAAGACTTGACAGAAAGACTGAAATATGAACTGACAAACTAATACAAGTGTCACAACATCTGGCAGTGTGAAAACTTACTCACAGTGCAAAGGAACCAAAACTTTTACTTATGTAAGAGTCTGTTATACTGAAGTAGAAGTAAAAGTAGCCTTAAGATCTCTGGAAACTATTCAGAGAAGTACAAATATCTCAAAAAGCTATTCATGTATGCGTAAGTGCTCCCCAACTTTGAATTTTGACTCAAACTTTAACAAAACCAGCTCATTTATTGTAATATATTTCGTCCTCCACACGCTATTAATAAAAGATACAACATTTCATAGTTTTGACATTTGAATGACATTGACTTCTGCATGGAACAGTGAAGAACCCTGCTGGGAACATGTGCATATCTACGAGTGGAATATTGGACTAACCGAATCTGCTCCAAGGTCCCACCAGCGTTACCCTCCCCTGGCCCTGTACGCATCCACGGGCCGTTAGTCTGAGGGGTTGGGGGATATAGGGAATAAAGCCTTCAAAGTGACAGCTCTCATGACACAAAGCTCCGCAAAATGTTACACTCCAGCGGCTAACGGCTAACTGACAGCTTTAAGGCCGCCTTTGATTCCTGAATAAAGATGCTATAGTTGGATTAGCAGCGTTTCGACTGCTCTTGACATGTCAGTTCGGCAGCGGGAGAAGTAGAAAGGGATGGGTCATGCTTGAACTTAGAATAATCTTTTTTGTGTGTGTATTTGTTCTTAGATTTTAGAGTTCTAGAAGCATCAAAGCAGCGTTAAAGGTGGACTGTGTAACTTTTCAAGTGTTGGGTCTATTGCCTGCTTGTCGCCATGGAGATGCTTTACCTGTAATATCCCACCATAAACCTTCTGTCATGTAATCATTCTATTTCAGGTGTTACCTTCAAAAATATACATTCATTTTAGCGGGGTCAGCTCTACACAGATCTGGCCTGTAATGTTTCCATGGAGACAAATAAGAATAACTGAATCTCACAGATATAAAACCACACATAAACCCATAATATAAAAGAAAGTACTATGATTTTAAGTTGAAAATTACATTCTATTCTTTAAAGAAATCATGTTTTTTATTATAATTGCAGTATCAAAATCAGTAGTGAGTAGTCTATTCCTTATTGAAATCAATTTTGAAATGTTAGTATCATGACAACTAGGGCCTGACCGATATATCTTATCAATATTATTGGCCGATACAGGCACTTGGAGGCATATCGATTATTGGCCGAAATCTTGGCGATCTGGGTCGATAGTTCACGTTGGCATGTTATACCTCGTTATAAAGCTTGGCTCTCTGTATTATGTTCATTTAATCCAATTTCCAGACAGATAAATGTCCTAATATGTGGTGCCGTATTTATATTTATGTGGTGTAATTTGTGTCTGTGATGCCGTACTGCACCTGAACGCACCCCCAAAGTCACATCACTCATGTGCATTTGTCTACAAGATCCACAAGATCCACACTCACTATAAATAAAAGTGAATTTCAGCTCAGTTTAGGTCAGCAACAAAACTATTGCTTGTTTTTAACTTATAAACTTATTAGTGAAGACTTGTGATCTGACAGGAGCCTGTGTGAGTGGTGAATGTTGCAAATGTGTCAGTTTTGAAGCTGCTTTTCATTCTTTCTCATGTTTTTTTTTTTTTTTAACTTATTTTATTTAATGAGACAGGGACAGCGCACAATTTTTACATTAACCTTAACAGGAGAGATGCATTGTACCAGGTTGTAGCACCAGTGCTAATTTCCACCTGTAGTCCCTGGGCAGGTTCATTGATTGATTGATTGATTTAATTGACCTTGGCTATCAACTGTTCTTCCTGGAGACCTATGTTGCATGTTTTGGGTTAGCGCTTCGCTGTTGTTATCTCCCACGCATAAACAGCCTATTTTCTCTTACACTGGCCTATTGTAAAGTGACTATAGTGGCTGTACACATGTTACTGGACACGCATTGATATGTAGATGAGCTGTGAATAGAGGTGTGAATGATCCGCATTTACTCATATAATTAATTACCGCGGCAAGCATGCATTTACCGCTAAAGGCTAATCGCGGTAGTTTACTTACTTTGTTTACAGGCTAGATTGTCATGCAAAAATGCCATTAGGCCGATCTACTGTCTTTAAATATGACGTAAAGAGGCAAAATAACAATATAGTATATGTAGCCTAAACAAACCCAATTTAAAATCCAGTAGAGCCAGACCTAAGTTTTATAATCAATTGAAGATTTACAGTGAATTTTTACATCACTAAATATATCAGCTTTTATATCGGCTATCGGCAGCTCCAACTCCCATTTTATCAGTATCATATCGGCCGCAACAAAATCCATATCGGTCAAGGCCCTAATGGTAACACTAGTCTAAACCAGACCAACATTGAACCAATGATGGACCCCAACAACACAAAAAGTCTGTCTCCCTGTTAGTGATGGTAAAGGTGTGCCATTACAGTTATCTGGTTCTTACCGTGGTGTACTTGCCCAGCTGGCACAGGGAGGGAAAGGTTTCTTGGTGGGCTTTTCGGATCTTCTCGATGATGTTCTCCAGCTCTGCGCTCAGCTCGTAGCTCTCCCCCAGCTCGGCTTTAGGGCTCTCCTTTTTCTTCTTGTTGCGATCATTCCTCACAGCTGGAAACAAACAAATAAAAGTTTCGACATGGCAGTCTGAGACGGGTAAATTGGTCCATAAGTTCCAAATGTGTGACAAAACACATTGCAAACTTGTAGCCTTGTAAGCTTTATTTACCACTCTTATTTAAGGGGCTTACATTAACCTATTTTCTGGTCTGTTATAATGTTGTTTCCTCATTAAAAACATACTCAGAGTTTTGTTTTCACATGTTTAACACACAAATGCTGAATGTAGGTTCTTCTCTCAAACGGAAAACAGCATTATAACATGGCTTAAAGCTCACAAGAATCCATGTTTGGTAATATAGGACTTTTAAGATACTTCAGCTGGGTCTCATATTATATGGCAACCTTGCAAGCATTCAAATTCTTGAGGGTGCATACAACGGAGGCAAAGAGGGTGAAGTGTCTTGCTCAATGACACAACAGCAATGAGCATAGTAGGGATCAAACCTGTGAGATGCAGAACTTTTTAGTAAACTACAATTCATGACCTATTACACTGCTTCTCATCTATTGATTTCACAGCCCTATATCATTATTCAGAACTTTTTCGACTCCTTATTTGTGGTTTTTAATTTTTTACATTTTAAAATTGTGAATTTCCAGTGAATGACGTTGAGAGGTGGGGGTACATTAAAGGTGGAGAGTCTGTCAGCTCTTTGTCTCCATGGAGATGTCGATGCTTTATTTAGAGAATTCCACCGTATGGCATCAAGCTTACATCGTCATGGAGACAAGCAGGGGGCGCCATCTGGTCAGGTCAGATCTGTGGATGGACAGACCCACTCACAGTAAGAATATATATATTTTTTGTTTTACTATAGAAACACCTACAATTGAATGAATGTAGATAAAAAATGATTAATGCCATACAGTGGAACATTCCAGTCAATGCCAAACATCTGCATGGAGACAAATAGAAGACTTGCCCTCCACCAGAAAAGTTACATAGTGCGTCTTTAAATGTAATAATAAATAGTATTTCATATGTTCAGCATGACATTACTGTCCACAAAACTGACTCTTTAGCCATATTATAAGGTTACTTCCTAAAAAACATATTTGGAGTTGTGTTTTGTTTCATTCACACATGTTTGAGTAATCCTTTATTATATGTCTACATCTCCAAAGCTCAAAAAGCTCAGTTCTACCTTGTGATGTCATGAGGCGGTAGTTTTCAAGCAATTCCTGATCTGAAATTCCACAAATAATCCTAGTGAAGGTGTGTGCAGATCAAAAACACAGTGGAGCACTTCCTGTATTACTAAAACACAACTCCAGGTTTGCTTTTGATAAGGAAAAAACATTACAACACAAAACAGCAGAACATGGGACCCATAACGACATCTCCTTTAACTTTAACTACAAGAGAAGAACCTCATTTTTTTTCCAAATCCTCATCAAACACCAACTTCATCTAAGTATCTCCCCACTTCTCAGAGACATTTCACCCCTATAGCTCTATATATAACCCATGAAAAACAACAGAACCTTGAGAAGCGTGCCACTTTGTTCGAACTCCAAATCTCATCTTTTCTATATGGGTCTTTCCTCTATTAGTTTCCTCTTTGAAGCCTCACAGCAGGGGGCTCCATACATGCTCCAGCTTATGACTCAACGCATGCCGCAGTTAACCAGGCCAGTGCAGTATTATATCACATGTACACGGTCGCTTAGAGGGATCCAGGGTTCGGAGGCCCCTCTTGAGCCCCCTTGACACCGCAACCACCCCCCCGGTCAGATCCCCTGGCCTACTTTAGCCTGGCCTTTCTGTTCACTGAAGAGGGTTGGAGAGCGCTAAACAGAGTGATTGTATTTGAGGGTATAGGCTGTGTAAATAGTGGCCTACTTGAGCTGAAGAGAATTGTGGAGGTGGCAGAAGTGGGTTTTGTTTATTATGGGGATGCACAAGCGTTAACATTGATTTTGTTTCATTCAGCTAGGAAAAACGTGAACTTAAAACATACAAAAGCAACAATTTATTAAGGGTACTCTCTGTAATATTAATTTTCAAGTTAACTGCTACCTTTTGTTCAGTAGAGATTAGAAATTCCAGGGCTGAAATCATCCAAATGATTCTACCATAGATTGACAGTAATGCAACACCTAGCACTGACTTTACTTCCTGGTTTGCAGACAATAAAAGTGCTCTATTACGAGATGCAGACAGCACACAGAGACTGAGCTGATTTTACAATATGTCTATACTGGAGCTAAACAAAAAAAAAAAAAACTTTATCACAAAAAAAAAAGGTGGTATAGCCTTTTTAACCTTAATAAGACTGCAAAAAATCTCATGCAAATAACCAACTTTGAAACTACTGCCTTTTGCCTTATTCAAACTTCCACACATACAATATACACAGTACGTAACAAGAAGGTTATATGCCATTAAAAATGTTGGTGCTGACTTTCAGAGCCTTGCATTATCAGGCTCCTTCTTACAACAGTGATCGGATCCAACTCTATGCCTCCTCTCGTACTTTGAGGCCTCTGGATCAGAACCTGCGTTTCCTCACACCAATCCTTCCAAGACTGATCCTTTCAGGCTGATGCTCCCAGGCTTTGGAATGATCTCCCACTCTCCTTGTGTTCACTGGAATCTGTTGATGTCTTCAAAAGCCAACTCCAAACACTCTTATTTGTGTCAAGCGTTTTAGGGTGCAGTAGTTTTTAGGGGCTGCTATATTGTTGTATTGACTATTATAAATGTGTATTTATTATGTGTTTAAAATTCGTGACTTTCTTGACAGTGAAAAATGCTGTATAAATAAACTTTGCTTGGTTGCAACCAATATGTCTGAATGTAGCCTATTTTAACAACCTGAGTAATTCATAATGATCTTTGTGACAACCAATAACAGTAATGAAAACATGTTGATGATAAGAGAAGGGACGGGTCACAGAAGGTGTAAAGTCACACTTGAGAATAACAGTGTTTGAGGCCCGGGGCTCTGAGCATGTGAGAGAACTGTGTTTGAATATGTCCACTCTGTTGTTCTGATCATTATAAAGGCTCATACAAACCAACACACAGTCACATTCTGAGCTTAGACTTGTTTGTGTCTTTCAAAACAGCTACAGTCATTATAGTACATCTTCTGGAGATCCAAATAGATCAAAAGTTCTAAGAGGACTAATCTCACACACAGCAGGTGTTTATTAGGATTTATTTGTCTCTCCAAGTTGTTAGGGTGCATTTTTCATCCACTCTTCAGTCAGACTCCCAGTCACACTTGCCCTGAGGCAAACACCACTCCAGCTCACATCTTTCAAACTGATGAGGTGGGTGAAGTGTCTTGCATAGTGGAGATTAGACTGGAGATTAGATGCCAAATGTTCAGTCTATGCTCCAGAACTGAGATCATCATCCAATCATCCAACAGATAGGTAACCTTGTGTAGCAAGATGAATTCTTACAATATTTGTGAGTTCACAAACTCATGAGTATCCACTTGGCCCAGCTACCCATTGTTGAAAATGGGACTGGGCCACCAGTGACTGTGACTGGACGATTCACAGAGCAGCATTTTGTGTTTGAGTTTAGACCAAAGGTGAAACGCCCAAACGCACTTTAGCCTATTTGAGCAGAAATACAGAATATTGTACTTTTCTCTCAAATGAATGTACCAAAAGTTTTAGCATGAATTTTCCACCTTTTCATGATCGCTTTCAGTGAGTCGTTCCAGACTGATAATGTGTAGAACTCAATTCAGAGTGACACACATATCAATCATGGTGTTATCCAGGTTAACAGCCAGGTCCTCCTCCCCAAGATCCTGGCTCACAACCTGCAGAAGGCTCTCAAAGTCTCACACTGTGGGCGTCCCACACTGGACAGGTTGCCAAACACACTGGAGGATGTTGAGATTCAGCGGATAAAATTACCCAAATTACTTCATTAATCTTTTAATAGCCTACTTCAGATCAACTGGACAAAGTTTGAAGAAGTAGAAGAAGAAGAAGTTTTATTCTAAGATGTGTTTTTAGTTCTATTTGTATAAAACTGACCCACAACCTCATAAAACCTTTTGTTCAATAAATTTACATTTACAATATTTCTCCATACTGAGATTAACAAAACCCTCACACCACCAGAGAAGCATGATTACAGAAACCTGTTTACCTGGTGAAAGTCACAGTGCCAAAGGCAGGACGCTCTGATAAGTCCACATGTTCTGTCCCCTGCTAAAGCTGACACTAATCACTCCATACATTTGACCTACATGTGCGACCTACCCGTCCATAACATGACGACATGCATACAGGCAGAACATCAGCTTCCATTAGGGTTCCTGTTGCAGTGACCTTTGACCTCGACAGGGTTAATAGAGTCACTTTTAAATGGTAATGGAGTCGGAGTACTGTGTGATTTGAAAATAAGTGTGATACTCAGTAACTTGTGGTCATGTGTTTGATGCGCTTTATTGAAATATTTTGATACAATGTTCGAATAATTAAATACTTGACTCAGTGCTTCACCTGAAATGTCCAACAGTATGGCATTAAGCTTGTATATATCTTCATGACGGCAAACAGGTGGTGCCATCAGGTCAGGTAACAATCTGTGGAGAGGAGGCCCAGTCACAGTAAGGATGGATACTTTTGAATGAATCTGGCTTCATTTTCAATATGCCAGCGTATACAGGCATTGCACACTCAAGCTCGCTGGAGGTGTGGTCTCTCCAAACAAATGATTTTAAGTTATACTAAACAAAAGCAAGCTATGGTGTTAACAGTGGTTCAAAAACAACCAATAAGATAGGTTTTTTAACATTAAAAGCTGAGCAGTGAAAAATACAGTTATCTCATTTGTAGTTAAGAGTTGTTTTAGTTGACAAAATTCTGAACTGCATTTCTGCCAGCCCTCTACAGTCTGTAGCCAGCCTGCCAATCTTATGGACAGAGTACACAATAGTCATTCTCTCTCCAGCTTTGAAATGATCATTTTAAAGTACACATCCTTTCATATTGTTCAGTGATAGTTATTGTGG